ATGCTGTGTGACCCAAATCACCCACCACGAATTGCATTGTTGGTCCTTCCGCCATGAACAGCCCCAGCTGTAAATCATATAGGTGACCCAAGGATTCCAGGAAAACAAAGACACTCCTGTTAGGTGTGACATTCCAGGGTCTTAGAGGTCACCTCCCAGAAGCTGAGGACAAAGGCCAGAGCTCCTCTTCTGTCTGGGGCAAGGTTCAATTCTTTACTACACAAACTCCCAACAGTACCTGCCAACCAGGGATCAGGAAGGTGCTACTGCCACCCATACAGTTGCCTTCTGACACTGCTGCAGAAAAATCCCAAGGCTCTACGACTATGTTGACACCTCACTTCTGCCCTGCAAATCTTTCTTGAGGAATCTACCTGATGAACCTGTTTTGCATCCAGAGCCCTAAGCGCTAGGGTGTCTGGGAAATGTGGGTGTTAACTTTGTGGCCTTTGCAGTAGGGAGGAACGGCAGAAAGGGTTAGAAATGTGTGCTGAGTGTCAGTATACCGTCCGTATCTCTCCACTCCTCTGGACAAGCGGGCAGACAGCTCACATCATCCTGAGCGCAGAGAGTTTCACCAGCACACTGTGAAACAATTCACTCATTCTTGGAGGTGCACACATTAAAATTTCCTGTACCATCTATCTCTCAAAGCTTGGGCAAGACAGATAAGTTTGGCATCTTGAAAGCCAGCTCAGGAGATAAAAACACATGAAATGATGAGTGGTTGGTGCCCTGCATGGACACCATTGACTCAGAAGACGTTTGGTCTTCTGAGTCAATCAAAACCTTGGCTTAAAGCCCAACTGAATCACTTAACTAGCTGTGTGACCAAGAGCCAGATCCTCACCTTCTCTGAGTTCCAGTTTCCTTATCTCTGCAGCAGGGAAGGGGATAATATAAAACTTCAAGTGTTTCTGTGAAGATTTCTTGACATGTTATCTGTAAACCATTAGCACAATTCCTGGAAAATGCTTAAAACTCGATAAATGGAAACTGTCATCATCATCATCATCACCATCATCAATGTCGTCATCATCGTCGGGATGAAGAAAAAGGAGAGGGAGGAAACATTTTCCCAAGACTTTAAAACCCCATGCATCTACTTCAGACCGCAGAATAATCTATGAGCATCAATTATGGTGCCACTAAATCCAAAAGAATCCATCGCCACTACTGTGGGAGTCACTAGACTCGCTCAGCAGAGTAAGTAGGTCAGGATTCCCTTGTCTGCAAAGCCGGGCAAAACAACTAGATCTTCTTCCTGCATCCTCTCCGGACAGAGTCTGTGCCACCAGTTAGCTTGTATCTCATTACCTTTTCCAGTACCAGCAGCTGTGATTGACATCAGGCTGGATATGGAGTCAGACAGCCCTGTGGGTCACCAGCGATGTGACCTTGAGCAAATCAGTTCACTTCTCTGGGGCCCTATCTCCTCATCTGGACACTGGGGTCATATGACCTACCTCTCAGGGTTACATGGTTTTCTCAGCACATAATAAGTGCTCACAAAAATCATAGTTACTAGGATTTGTGGCTATGTCTGCCTCTGCCACTGGATTATAAGCCTGTTAGGGGCACTGTGACTGACATGTGGTAGATGCTCAAAAGTCCTTCCTAAAAATGGGAATAAGGGCTCTGGGCACCTGGGATCGCATGAGGCATCAAAAGGGGATGGAGTTGAAATCAGGAGCAGGGGTCTCAGAAGGCCCCTGAATATATTCTGCTCCTCATCTCCTCTCCCTTTTCCCTCCTCCCAGGAGGTAATATTTCCTTAGGCTGTTGTTAAGTCGCCTGCAATGAGTAATGACAGTTTAGCAGCTTTGTTCCAGGTACATCAAAGTTCTTCTCATACATTACCTTGTCTGCCTCCCATTTGCCTGGGGAGGCAGAGAACTGGTTAGGCCAGGATGATTGTTCCCATTCTACAGATGAAAAGAACAAGGACAAGGACTCATAAACTGACGCATGGGTAGAGCCAGTGTCTGCTGGGCTGCCTGCCAGGCCAGTGTTGCTTGCTAGCGACCATCACGTTTGAACTTCACAGACTGAGTTTCTGCCATGGTCTAGCCTACACCAAACCCCTCATTCTTTCCCGAACTGTCCTGTACTATTGTGACCTTTCTGTGCCTTAGAGGTAGAGTTACCAGGGTTGGAGGGGCTCCTGGAAATAAAAAAGGGCATTCTGGGGCCTGAATACTTGGCAAATCAATACAGATCCCTTGTGTATAGATTTTTTAGCTGGTTTGTCCTTGCTAGGCAGTTGGAAATTTTTATTCATTTGGATTGAACCCACTCATGGGTCACCCTGCTTTATGCACGATTATCTGTCAGCCAGTGATCCCATTAGCTGACTATGACAGCATTTACAAATCTCTATCACAGCGCTGAAATTATTTCCTCATGAGACGTTTCCTCATGTACTGAAGTTGTGCATAAAGGGGCTGTAAAAACACATTTAGAAGTAGATTCAGGGCCGGCCGAGTGGCGCGTTGGTTAGAGTTGGCTTGGGATGCCAGCTCTGAGCAGCAGGGCCCCAGTTTGGATCCCACATAAGGGCCAGTGATACTGTGCCCTCTACAGCTAACATGTGAACAACAGCTCGACCTGGAGCTGGGCTACTGTGAGTTGCCGGCGACGGCATAGGCTGCAGTGGGGCTGGCCGGCACAGGCGTGAGCTTTCATGATCTGCTGTGAGCCACCGTGAGCGGCTATCCAATGGCCGGTGAGCGACTGCCTCTCTCGGGAAGAGTGCTATGATAATACCAACATGGGTCAGTGAAGCAACGTTCTCCACAACTAGACTGAAGAACAAAAGGACAGCAACTTGCCTGTTTCCCTTCCCCAATTCCCCAATAAAATCTTAAAAAAAAAAAAAAAGTAGATTTAGGGGGCCTGGAATCACTTAAACTCTTTGAGATTTCTTTTTTCCTCTTTAAGAACTGAGATAACATATGTGAAAAAGCACAGGGCCTAACACATAGTAGGGCCTCCTTAAACATTAGGTAAACCAGAATCCCAGAGTCCCCAGAGGTTAGCCCAATCCCTGGCTCACAGTAGGTGCTCAGTGAACATTTGCTTGGACTGTAGAGATATTTTTGAATATATGGCAGGACTATATTCATGAACTTGTCCTCCCTAGTTCGGTTCTTAAGAGCTAAAGCCCAGCCACAGGAAGTCCTCACTGGTCAACCTTCTGCACAACCCCGACCTTGATACCAAGCTATCAACTCATAACAATTCACCGAGGGCCTTCTCCTGTGTCCCGAAGTTGTATCCCCACCTACAGCATTTCAGACACTCTGTTTTCGTGATGACAGCTTGGACTGGTGTCCTGCCACGCTCTGCACTGGTAGGACATTTCAGCATGTGTGGGTGGTATTGGAAGTGTTGGCAACTGCCTTGGAACATAGCTGCATTGGAGTAGCATTTAACAGTAAGCCATCCGACTGAGGGTGAGAGAGCCAAGAGCTCCAGAATAAACACATTCCCTTCTCACCTTGGAACACTCCATGCACTGTTGCTGATTTAACTGTGCTGTAAGGCCAGCCAATTGCAAACCCAGCATGGGAGCAGAAACAGTCCTTCTGCATGTGTGTGGTGAAGTTTGGGAAACATGGTCACAGTGTGACAGATAAGCTCTGTTCCAAGTCTTCTTAGCATGGGGGTGCATGTGTGTGCATGTGCATGTGTGTAGAATGTCTTTCTCTCAGTGGATTCTGGCCACAGAGTCTTGCTAGGGAATCCCACACCCGTAAGATGTGTGAATCTTAAGCCCTCTTTGCTGACAAATGTTCACTGAGTGCTCACCTTGTTCGTGTTTCTGTCAGGGTCTCAACAGGAAGCAGATGACACACTTGAAATAGGATCATTTGAGGAGGGTTTATTTACAGTGAGACTGCTAGCAAAGGTGTGGGGGTGGAAACCACAGGAATGGAGCAGGAACTTGTGGCTCAGCAGCAGCTGGTGGTGTTTTCATCTGCAGATCTGAGGAACAAAGGGAGGAAGTTGTTATTGCAAGCTGGCGGGGAGAGCCAGGGAGCGGTGGACTTCAGCTAAGGGACCCAAACTGGAGGTGACCTTGCCAACAAGGATCCAGGTGAATTCCTACCCTTGGCAACCTTTGTCTTTCCTTCCAGTACCCTGTAGGGTCCTCTACTGGCCAAATCCAACAGAAGCCAGGGGGCATAGGAACCTTGATGTGGTTTGTACAGCTCAGCCTCCTGGGGCCAAGGGCAGGCTGGAGAAGTATCGGGGGCAGGTGAGGGTACCTGGAGGGGCAAATGTAAGTCGTCATGGGCAATATTGTACTGTGCAATGGACAGAGTGACTCCAGGTTTGCGGGGACTGAAAACTCACACAATTTTGGAGGTCTGCTTTAAGAAAATCATACAAAAATATCTTACATGGTAAATTTAAACAAACAAAAAACAATGTAAAACATTGTTAAGGCCCTTCCCAGGGCTTTAGGAGGGACCTGTGCAAATGAGACTCTGAAGCTTTTGTTTCATTAGCTTCATTGTAAATCTCCCTCTGCTTATAGCTTTGGTGATTTTTGACCTATAACAGTGTCCCAGTGCACATTAAACTTACAGTCTCTTGGGTGATGAAGGCTTAGACAACTGATTATATGTACAACGCAAACTGTGGCATAAGAGAATTAGACACGTGGCAATGGGTGGCCTGAATAATATTAATACTATCTACTACTTATTGAGCACCTAGTATGTACAAAGTACTGTCTATAGATTATCTCATTTAATCCTGACAGAAACGAAAACTGAGACTCATCGGGGTTAAATAATTTAGGTCACAAAGCTACAAAGTGGAGAGCTAAAATATGAACTGGGTGCTGTTAGCTTTCAGAGCCAGGACACAGACTACTGAACCAAGCTGTTGTGGGAGAAGCATTCGAGGGTGATGGACCAGAAGGTGGGAAAACACAGGTTCAAGTAGACAGAGGAGACATTCAGCCAATGGGAACCTAGGACATTTTTAACATCCAACCTTTTGTCAACACACTTATTTAATCAAGGCATTGCGAACATTGGCAGTAACTATTTCGGTTCGTATGGCATTCAGGGGTACAGCATCTGAGCAGAAGGGCGACTCAGAAGCTTTGAACCACGTTTCTCAGAAGCCCACGGCGCCAGAGGGACCGGGATGCTACTTCGTCTATAAAAGACTTCATTTCCCAGCATGCAGTGGGAGTGCCGGCCCACGTCTCCCGGCATTCCAGGGGAGGCAGCTCGGGCCCTGTTCCGCGGCTTTCCCGCTCGCCCCGCCTCCCCCATTCGCCCCCGAGCCAATCGGAAGGCCGTATACTGCAGGGTGTGACGGAGACGGCGCCGCAGCGGAATTGCGAGTTGGCGAAAGCGGCGGGAAGTTCGTACTGAGCGGAAGGCGACGGGTCTGAGGCTCAGGGTAGGGGGCTGCGAGTGGCGCGGTCTGAGAGTTCGGGCGCCGAGCGGGGGCCGCGCAGGGGGCGGCAGCGGGCTGGAGAGGCCGAGCGGCCGGGATCTCGGGTGGCGCCAGGGCTGCGGGCGGCGCGGGCCTCCCCTCCACTCTGGTCTCCGTCAGGCCCCGCAGTGGCCCCGGGCTGCCTGCAAGGGCCAGGCCGGCCCGCAGGCTTAGTTCCACGTTCTGGACGGCGTCTTGGCGCGGCCGGAACTTGCGGTGCTTCCTGGTCGTTCAGGGCCGGGGCTGAGAGACGGGGGTCTGTGCCAGCCCGGAGCGACGAGGGACCCTCTGGTGTCATGGAGCTGACGTTCTGGAGGGGGAAACACAGAATAGACGCAAATACGATACTTTTCAGATACTGGAAAGCCTCCCTTAAAACAAGGACAGGCGATTGTGGGCCAGGGTGATGGGGGTGAGGTAGGGCATCTCGGAGGAGGTGGCGTTCGACTTGAGACCGGAGAGGAGAAGGAGCCTGTCCCCCCGAGGACCGCTTCCAGCACCGCCGCTTCTTACCAGTCCTTGTCCCGGGGAGGCCCAGGGGGAGCTTGCGCCTAAGGGTCTCGTGTAGGCGGTAGAGCTCCGTGGGGGAGTTTCGCACGGGATTGGCGTGTCCCGCTGGCAGCTCCTCCTCTGTTTCTGCCGTTTCCTTAGATAACAGGGTGGCACCCTTTACTGATACAGCTGTATTTAAGGGCAGGGAATCGTTTTTTGGCACTGGTCTGAAAACTCTTGGGTCGTTTAGTTAAATTCGACAAACAGCAACCGAGTCGCTGTGTTGAGAGAGGAAGAGACGGGACAGGTTCCTTCTGAAGCCATCTATTTTTCTAACTTCTCCATCAAGTCACCCTTTTTTGTCTTTCTTTGTGGAGGCTCTTTCCCTCCCCATCTCCTTTTTTTGGAACAACTTGGGAATACCAGTTTTGCTATTGGGAGGGTGATGCTTTTAGGGAACTGTTGAAGAGCGTCCTTAGTTTTGTTTTTTTTTGTTTTTAAAATTGGAATTGCCCATCTGTTGAGTATGAAATTTGCAAAAGAAAAATGTAGAGCAGCGTTTATTACTATTTTTTTAAAGATTTTTATTGGGGAATTGGGGAAGGGGAACAGACACGTTGCTGTTGTTTTTGTTCTTCAGTCTAGTTGTGGAGGACGTTGGGTCACTGGCCCATGTTATTATCATTGCGCTCCTCCCCAGTGAGGCAGATCAGTCGCTGGCCACTGGATGGCAGCTCAGGGTAGCTTAGGGCAGCCCACTGCTGCAGAGGCTGCAGCCTACGCCATAGCCGGGACTCACGGCAGCCCAGCTCCAGGTCGAGCTGTTGTTCAGCATCTTAGCTGTAGAGGGCGCAGTGTCACTGGCCCCCGTGTGGGATCCGAACCGGGGCCTTGCTGCTCAGAGCTGGTGTACCAAGCCGGCTCTTAACCAACACACTACTCTGCTGGCCCGGAAGTGTTCTTTATGTAATGATTTTATTCATATTATGCTTGTGTTGTTCAAAATGGCATGTAGTAATTGGAATGAAATTTCTGGGTGTATAAGGTTATGTTCATCTGCTACCTAGAGAAGGGCATGTAATGTAAGTAGTCAATACTAGCTTTCTCTGCTGAAGGTGCCACAGATGGCCCTCTCCACATCTCAACATTGCTGATCAGATTCTGTGTTAATATCCAGAACACCTTGAATTTAATAACAGCAAACTTCTATTAAGCATTACTGTTAATTTAGTACTAGTATCTAGTACAAATAATATCAAGCTTATAGTGTAATGACATCTTATGCTAAGGGCTGTAAAAATGATGAGAGGATATTTGTTAAACAAATGATATAAGGAAGTAATGTGTCAAGGATAGAACCTGGCATATAGTAAGTTAGTAAGTTCCCAGGAAATGGTTACAGGGAAAGCATATGCTAAGTTTTATTCCACAATGCAAGTGTATATTTTAAAAATAACAGTAATGCATTCAAAATGTTGACAGACGCTAAAATTAAATTTCTTAAATAGGCCAGGTTTTTTTTTTTTTTTTGAGAACTAATGTGGAATAATAATAAATATATAAGTGAATGTCCCAGATGTCTAGAAGAAAAGAAACAAGATTTTTATTTTGACAACTATATTTTTTCCTTAACCCTCCGTCAAGGGCAACTGATCCCACAGATTTATTGCACACAAATTTTCAAATATGCGATACATCTTTACTAAGTCACAAACACGACTGGCAATAGGTTATGGTAGAGGGGGAAGATAGGGAAGCGATGAGTCACGATACTTAACTGTTAGATATTTGAAAATTTGTGTGCAATGAATCTGAGATCAGTTGCGCCAGACGGAGGGTTAAAGCCACCCCTACTAAGGTATAATGTACTACGAATAGAATTTTGATGTGAAGAATAAAACTTTGAAAGTATTTTTGATTTGAAAAATAAAACTTAACTGAAAATGAAGCAGAACTTTACAGTTGACCTTATATCAAATGGAGGATGACTCCTGAATTTATACAAATGTGCAAATGCTGATATCTGTATATACCAGGCAGTGAACCTAAATGGAATTGAATTCTACCTCTTTGTGTGTGGGGGTGAGGCTTTCATGAAAATTGGTCTTGATTGGTCTTGATGTATCGTAACTGAATAAGACTGGAGAATATTTGTTAGACTGGTAGGATATTTTACATGCTTGCTGAGCTTATTTTTCAGAGTGAGCAGAAATGAACTCATTTATTTACCAGGTATCAACATGCCTACTGTATGTCAGGAACTGCTAGGTACAGTCTATTCTTGCTGCTGTTGTTTTGTTGAAGCAAGTTTTCTTCATTTTAAATTAATAGGGGTCATTCTTTTTTACTTTTGTTATCTAGCATCCAGCACACAAGAAGTCAATAAATATGTAGGACACACTTGAAAAAGTACACTGTTGTTGATAAAATATAGCACATATGGGATTTTTAATAAGGATGTGAGATTAATTTAGAAAGGTGGAAGAATCCTGACAGCACTTGGCTGGGTGCTGCAGCCAAGCCGTGTTTGCACTCTATAGGAGCTCTTTGGTCCTAGCGAATGTGTACCCACTTGCCATTATAGGGCTGTGCCCTTTGATGTCATTCCCCCTTGGCTCCTGAATGATACTTAAGTACCTAGCATTCTGAGGTTGCTGTTTTGAAGTAATTTCATGCACTTTCCCAATTACTCCTGCACTATCTCTCCCAATGTCGTCTTAAATCTTTGCACTCAAATGCAAGCACATTCTGTTATTTTTGTTCTCGATGACCTATGGGCAATAGTTTAAAAAAAAAAAAAAGCTCTCTAGAGAGCCTAGAGAGATACGAGGTGTGCCCTTCCCCCTGAAAAAGAGTTCAATTTTAATATTCACCAATAAATACTGACAAGAAACTACTTTTAGTAGTACTCTTCAGTAAACTTATTAAGAATTTTATTAGCCACCGCATCAAGTTTGTCAGCTGGGAAAAATGCATTGTGAATCATATTATTTATTTAAGTCTTCAAGTAGGTACATGGATTTTGATGATTCTTTGCAGTAACTCTTATCTGTCCATGGGCTTCTGGCCCATAGGATGGGAACCAGTACTCTAGGACTTGAAAATTAAGATAGATATTGCTCACACTGGCAAATATTTAGGATGAATATTAAACACATTCTAAAATGTTTATCAGTAAGCCATATACATTAAGTGGGAAGATATACTAGGTGGAAGTCATATAATTAAATTGCAAGGTTATTACTTTGAGGTTTTGGAATGTTCTGTCATATACTTCTAAGCAAATAGCATAGTTTATTAGAAGGACACATTTGTCTAGTGGAGCTCAATATCTGGAACAATCTAGTGGGTTGTTGGAAAAGTCGTGACGCATTTTTGCAATGAAAAACATAGGTCCCACAAGGGACTAAAAGAGAACTGGAAAGTCATTACGAACGAGGGCAGCACCATCTTACTCTTTTGGGGACTTTATATCAATAGTTTCTTCCTATGCATTTATTTCATTTTCTCTTTGCAAACTGGCAGTCTTGCTGCTGTTTGCTTGTGGGGCAAGTATGCCTGCTCTAGACCTGGCTCCTTGTTTCAGGAACCCAAAAGAGATTGTTATCTAATTGTCAATTATACCTAAAATTAAAAAAGAAATTATGAAGTTTGAAATCTAAGATAACTACAGCTTTATTTCAGGTTAATTGCTTTTTTTTCAAATTGCTTTACCAAGTAACAACTGAACAAAATATGATCGTTTAATGATACTTCTGTATAAATGCATTGTGATCACATTTCACAACATTGTTAGAAAGTGCTGTTAAACCTTTAGTTTTCACAGACTGTCTGCAAGACATAGAAACTTGCTGTTTCTACTAGGGGTGTTGCTTTTTTTCCACTTCTTGCAGTTTGCTATATAATACCGGCAACAGAGCTTGCAACATAAAGATTATATCTCATAAATACTTTGTTAGGGGTAATAATGAAAATAATTATTTGGCAGTCAGGAAAAACGTTTTAAAAATTTATTTTTAAAAAGCTAAGATCAGGTGATAACATTTAAGGTTTAATCTTGTTTTTTTTTTTTGGGCTTTTAGAAAATATTTTAGAAATTGTGACTCATTTATATTACCTCTCACGTTGCAAGTAGGAATATAAAGTGGTACAGCCACTCTGGGAATTAGTTTGGCAGTTTCTTAAGAAGTTAAACATGCATTTAACATATGACCCAGCAGTTGTACTCTTGGGCATTTATCTCCTACAGGAGCAAAAACTTACGTTCACACTAAGACCTGTACATAATGTTCATAGGGGCTTTGTTTATAATAGCCAGAAACCAGAAACAATGCACTGTGTCCTTCAGTGGGTGAAGGGTTAAAATAAACTGGACTAGCCATATAGTGAAACACCACTGGTAACAAAAAGAAACAAACTATTGGCACCTGCAACAGTTTGGATGGAGCTCAAGGATGTAGTACAGAGTGAAAAAAGCCAGTCCCAAAAGGTTGTGTGATTGCATCATAGCATTTCTATAGCATTCTCAAAATGACAGAATGACAGGAACGGAGAGCCGATTAGTTTTTCCAGGGTTAGGGCTGGGGTGGGGTATAAACTATAAAGGGGTGTAGCATGAGGGAGTTTCTTTGGGGTCATAGAACCGTTCTGTATCCTGATGTTGGGATGGTCACATGAGTTTTTACACATGATAAAAAATGTCATGGACGTTACCTACATACAAACAAAAAGAATGTAAAAACTGAAATTTGAGTAAGAAGTTTAATTACTGATGCTGCATCAATGTCAATTTCCTAGTTTTGGTGACTGTGCTAGGCTTGTCCATTGAGGGCTCTACCACTCGTCGCCCACTGAAGGACTAGTGGGCTGTTTCTAGTTTTTGGCCATTAAAAATAAAGTTGCTGTGAATACTCATGTATACGTTTTAGTGTGAGTTTAAGTAATTTTTCTAGGGAAAATGCCCAGGAGTGCAACTGTTGGGTCATAGGGTCTGTTTACCTTACTAAGAAACGGCCAGACTTTCCCAGTGTTGCCATACCATTGTTACAATCCTATCCTCACTGTATGGGAGAGTGTCCCCAAATCTTTGTCAGCATTTGGTGTTGGTGGTACTTTTATGTTAGCCGTAAGGAGTATAGTGGTATCTCATCATGGCTTCAATTTGCATGTCCCTAGTGGCTAATGATGTTGAACATCTTTCATGGCTTATTTGCCATTAATATGTTATTTGCTGACTTGTCTGTTCAAATTTTGCCTATTTTGTGACTGGATCATTTGTTTTCTTATTGTTGAGTTTAGGGTGTCCCTTTATATGTTCTGAATACAAGTCCTTTGCTAGATGTGTACTTTGTAAACCTGTTCTCTCAGTCTGTGGCTTGTCTTTTCATTCTCTTACAGTGTCTTGCAGCACAAAAGTTTTTGATTTTGATGAGGTCCAACTTATTGATACATGGATCGTGCTTTTGGTGTCATGCATGTCTCAGAACTCTTTGCCTAACCCTAGGTAAGGAAAATGTTCTATGTTTTCTTCTAAGTGTTTTATAATTTTGTCTTACATTTAGATCTATGATCTGTTTGGGGTTAATTTTTACATAGGATGTGAGGTTTAGGTCTTGGTTCTTTTTTTCTTCTCTTTTTACCTATATTTCTTGTATGATACTTGTATGTCCTTTGTCCAGCTGTTCCAAACCATCTGTTGAAAATATTACCTTTGTTCCATTGAATTATTTTTGTTTTTACCTTTCTAAAAAATCAGTTGTTCATACACTGTAAACTGCATACCAAAAAGAAGATAGGAAATGAATGATTAAGTGTGAAAATTAATGGAGATTTATGAAGGTATGACATGGCTTGAGTGTTGAAAAAAGTATGTACAGATGGAGAGGAAGTCAGAAAACATTTTAGAGGAGAGCATGAGCAAAGATAGGTCCTAAAGAAAATGAGCTAGAACTGACTGTTCTGGGGAGTCATGCGAATGAAGGGGAGGAGGGAAGTGAAGGAAGGAAAGTTAGTTCATGAGTAGAGAAAACTGCTGGTTAGATGGTTATAATCAGTTTCACTGGGTACATAACCATGACCCTTAACTTGACTTCCCACTTTGTCTTACGTATGTTTTCCAGAAAGCTAAAAAAAGGGGTGCCACTTGAGAATATTAAGTCCCTAGTATTTTCTAGAAGAATAATGGCAGATTTCAGACTTTGGCCACTATCTTCAGTGAAGGATACTGAGAAATCTGGACCTTCAGACTCCTCCATGTTAATGCTCCTGGTAGTAAGTGGAACACGTAGGATAAGAGGACTTGCTGTTGGCTCATTGTTGGTGTGGATGGCATTTCTCATCAGGCCTAGAAAGGGTCCAGGAGGTGAGCAACTGAAATGATGAAAACAGAGACTTGATAAATTGGTCTAATGAGGACAAGTTGATGGGACCCCTGTTATTTATCATGGAAAAGAGGAGACTCGGGTTATTTAATCAGTGTCCTGATACTTATGTATGAAGAGCTGTAGGGAGAGTGATGGTGACCAGCTGTTCTTCAAAACCACCAAGGACTGAGCAAGGACAAATGGCTCCAACTGCAGCTCTAAGCTTGGGGAGCATTTCCAGGCAGTGAGGACATTAGCTACATGAGGCCATTGATGAAAAGATCTTTACAGGTAGGATGGGAACCTGGACGTAGTTTAGGAACATGAGAGTCGGGGATACGACAGCTCTCAAGCTCTAACTTAGTGTGACCGAAAATACCCAGTTTCTGTTTCCTTAGCACCCACTTCTTGATTTCTCTCCCCGAACAAATTTTACTGTTATTTCCTGTTCATCTGTGAGACTCTCATTTGGTTTCTGCTTTCTTTTGTGCATTTAAATGATTATCTTGGCTATAGATTAGACTTGTCATTTAAAAAATAACCACTCAACAAATAGAAGTTATTTAATGACAAAATACTAAATATCAATGCATTTCTACTTTTTAATTTAGAACATGGAAAAGAATATTACCCTCCCCCCCCAAAAAAAATCAACGATGACTTGTTGAGCAAAGAATTCTACTGCATAACAGATTACCATGACGTGTATTAATGAAGGATTGGCAGCGTGAAAAGCTTTAGTGCAACCACTTATTTGTCTTCAAAGTACCTTTTCTGTTTGATTTAATTCCCTTAGTCTGATTCTTTTCTACTAGTCTAGATAATTTTTCACCGAAATGTTGAGATTGACTAAGAATATTTCTCTTGTGATTGCAACCCTTCAGTATTATCACAGAGTTTTTTTTTCTGCAGAAGAGCAAGCTCTTACAGTGCTATGCAAGCTGCCCATTTAAAACTATCATTGCTTGGCACCTATGCCCTAGTGACAGTTTGACCAACATGTGAGCAGGCACGGTGCCATCCTGACAGATGGGTGTGAGTGTACGCAGCCAAGAAACCGTGTATCTGCATCTAGTGTGTTTGTTAAGGGCAGGATTCCCAGTCGGGGATGTTCAAACGTCTGTCCATCCTGAGCTTTCACGCCTATGGATAAAGGGATGTCATCATTAATCTCTGCTTCTGACTGAGATTCCATGGATATATAAGAGCTTCTTGGCTCTTACAGAAGTAGGCAATTGGGGACAATCAGGATAATTGTTCTCTCCTCCATCACAGGACTACTTCAAATAACCCTTTCCCCTATCTCCTAGCCAACTAGGTTTGTAATGAGTACAAACCTTTTCAGACATTGTCCCATGACTTCTAGGATATGTGTTGCTTCATTTGTTTTCTATAGTATAAAAGTGTTGAAAGTCATTTAGTATTTATGGTTTGGACAGTGATGTGTATAATTGGAGTCAGGTAGATCAGAGTTCAAATATTGACTACTGTGTGACATTAGGGCAGCCTAGTTTTACCATCAAATCAAGGTAAAATACTTATGAAGACATAGGATGGTAGTGAGAATACTACCTGTGAAACAACGTACATTTGTCACTTGGTAGAATATCTGGCCCACAATCAGCATTCAGTAAATGTTTATCATCATCAACACTTTAAATAATCCTGAAGGTATTTTTCTCTGGAGAGTTATCTGAAACAGTTAATCTTTTTTCAACTCATTTCCCGTTGTTCTTGAAAGTTATGTACTGGATATTATCACATTGTCTGGTGTATAATGGAATACCTCCAGTGACAGAGAACTCGCTACCCTTAGAACAGGGTTTTTCAACTGAGGGACTAGTGACATTTTAGATGGATCATTTTTTTGCCGTGGAGGTCTGTTCTCTGAATTTTAGTATGTTCAGTGTCATCCTGGGCCAGAGGGACAAAATTGTCCCCATCGACAACTACTGCTCTAGAGGCAGCCTATTCTGTTTTTAATTAAGTTTTGACTGTTATTAAGTTCTTTCTTATGTTTTGAGTGGAAGCCTACTTTCTTATTTCTTCTACCTGATTTTGTCTTAGAGTCACATAGAACAATCTGAACCTATGTTCCACACAATGTCCTTTCACATATGTGAGGGCGGCTCTCATGTCTTGTCAGTCTTTTTGAATTGAAATATTTCTATCCAGTTCATTAGCTATCCTTAGAAGGCGCAATTTCGTCAGTTCACCACATTGGTGGCTTTCCTTTGATTTAATTCCGTTTTAAAACTATAGTACTTAGAAATGAATGCAGTATGCTAGGCATGGCTGGATTAGTGAAAACTAGAGTAGCATCTGTTTTAGATAAAGCACTTTTCTTCTATGAATATAGGAAAGAATAGTACTTTTCTTTTACATACTGTATTCTTATTATCAGCTGTATCCTTTTGATGACCACAGCATTCATTCAACCTAGAGTTGAACAAAACCCTTAGGTTTATCTAAGCCATATCTTCTTCATTCTGTTTTTATGCACTAGTTTTGGGATCCAACCATGAGAGCTTATGTTTATCCTGTTAAATTTCTTTTTATTGGAATTAGCTAATTGTAGTCCTAAATCTTGGTCAACTCTGAAGTTTCTAGCTTAAAAGAACAAGTAGGAGTGTGTGTGTGTGTGTGTGTGTGTGTGTGTGTGTGTGTGTGTGTGTAGAAGATTGAGGAAGCCTAGGGAACCCCAATGTTAAGAGCAGCTGGGCAGAAAGGAGGAATCAGGAGACCAAGAAGAGAGCTGGGGGCAAAAAGTCAGGATGGAAATGAGCCAGTGTCTTGGCAGCTGGAGGGACTGTGTTAAGTACTGTGGTAGATCCTCGAATACAAAGTGCATTGAACCTGGTCTCTGCTTTCTGCTCCTGTGTTTGTTTGCCCGGGTTCAACTGTTCAGTCAGTGGCATTACTAGTCAATCACACCTGAAAACTTGGAGTCACCCTTTAATTCTCCTTTACACGGTTACATTTACTGGGTTACCAAGTTCTACTGATTGATTTTTTTGAACTATAGCATACATCCTGGAAAAAGGGCACAAATCTTAATGTATCTAGTGCAATGATTTTTTTTTTTTTTACAGAGTGAACATACATTAGTAACCACGACCCAGATCAACAC